ACTGAAATACAACTTAGTTACTGAGTTTGATAAATTATAATGGAAGTCTGTGGTATTGATGTAGTAATTTATTATTTTTTGGGTTATTCAACTGTGTGTATATAAAATTTTAAAAATTATTTCATTAATCAAGAATTTTTTCCAGGAGCAAGATAGAATGCAAGAAGAAATTGGATTGATTCAAATAAAAAAGGACAGAGAAAAGCAGTTTTTATTGTCTTCTTTATCACAATGTAAGTTTAATACTGAAAGTTTTGCACTGTCCAGAAACCTAGTGTTTTGTTAACACACTAGATGTTTTTAACTCCACTTGTATGTTAAGATGATGCAGAAATAATAAAAATCCATAATCTTGATCTATTCAACAAGCATAACTTTTCTTTGTATGTAAAGTTCTGTTAAAGATGTTAGTTTTAAATATGTGGTTTCGTGAGAGACAGTACGGTATAAAAATTAGGTCATCATATATCTATGTTATTATCAATCATGTTGAATACAAAGTCTGTATGAAAGGCTATTAAATGGGGGAAAATCTGTTGAAACATTGGCAATAATATGCTGTACTTAACAATGAAAAATCTGTTGAAACATTGGCAATAATATGCTGTACTTAACAGTTATTTGTTGTGTTTTTGTTTTTTACTTTTTTAAAGATGTTTGCAGCTTTGAAATTTGTCCAGAACTTAAAGTTTCCAATAAAGGACAGTCCTCTCTGCCTCAATTTTCTTTTAAACAAGAATTTAAATATCTACTCTGTGTTGAAATCTGAAGTAAAATTTGTCTTGTCTGTACAATATTTCAGCCAAAGATTTAAAGGGAACATGAATTTTTTCTTTCTTTTTTCGTATTTCAATAAGTTTAACTTTGTCTGTGAAAGTGGATTAGAATTATTTATTGTCAATAAATTACAGAAATTAAATGAAAGTTTTTGAAATTATAAAAATTTCATGCTGATAATCAAGTCATAGTCTCAAAGATATGCAAGAGACACAGTATAATAATTAAACAATGTTTTGTTCAGAAAAGAAATACTTAACCCTGGAATTACTGATTTGCTTTTATACCATTCACTACAAGGGAGTACATATAATGCTTCAATTTGAGTAACTATGTTTTTGCCTGTTTAATGCTTGGGTTTAAAGGACAGAACAAAAACATCACTCATTTTCTACATAAAATACAGATGAAACCCCAGCAGTAATTAATGGGATTAGTTGCAATACTGATGATATTTTTTGGTTTAGATTTTATGTGACTTGTGTTTATATAAGAGACCCTGTAACCAACAAAGTCATAGAATTGTTGCATATATAGTTTAGAAAAGTGTGTTTGAAAACCTAATGGAGCCTAAATGGTAATTCTAAAATTTAAATGTAATCATGATTGACCAAACCTGAGCAAGAGATATATATAAAGCATCAGAATTAAACGTGTTGAACTTGTAAAATAAAATGTTCAGTAATTTATGCATGAAAAGTATGATTTCTCGTATGTTTTTTGCAGTAATTGCAAATTTTATGTTCTTACCTCGCTTCTGTATAATAACTGTGAAGGATCAGATCTTAAATTTTAGTTTAATTTCATACAATTACATAATCTCAATTAAAAATAAGAGTATTCTTCATAAATTATAATTATTTTTCCTTGCTTTTTTATTATTTTACTGTTCTGTACACAGTGGAAGACCACTCAACCCAGTTGATAGAACAACTTCTAACTTTGAATGATAAAGTAAATAACAAAGATCTACTTTTAGAAGCTCTAGAGAAAGAAAAGTAAGTTAATTTTAAATATAATATTTTCTAGTTTAAAAAATTAGTATGTTAAGTTTCCAGAGTGTATTGTTATTATTAATCTAAAAATATTTACAATAATTTGAATAACTTTCTCAAAAATATGCATACTGTTATTATGTTCTCTTTCCTTTAGATGTTAAAAGTAACATAAGCATTATATAATTTATATAAATATATAAAAGTATACGTGTTTTTGTTATATTGTACTATATTTATATTAACCTTATGTACACAGGGTCTGTCAGTTAAAGTGAGCCCATCAATGTATATTATAATTCAGAATTTACTTTTTTGCATCTTACACTATATTTTATTTCCATAACTTCTAGAACCTCCTAAAAGGATATCTTGTTTTTTTGTTGATGTTTTTTCAGTAAAACTATATTTTTATCTGTTGTTTTCTCTACCTTAACACTAACTGTAGTGAGTCAGTAATGCAGAGTAAAATGAAAAGATGAAAAATATTAAATAAATCTAAATTACCTTTTTTATCTTTCTATACTGACTGCATATTGTAACAAACAATTATACACTATTTGTTTTTACAGCCAAGACTAATACCTTTCAAATCTCTAGTCATTTAGATTTATAGCTTTATTGTGTACTTAGAGTTTGGTAAAAGCAACTTATCTCTGTGGCAACTTTGTAAACAAAGGATAAAGTTACTAGCATGTACAATGAAATTAGTCATGTTGTGCTTGTGATGTGCATGTACTATCACGAGTATTTTTTTAGTTTGTTTTTCATTTAAACTTTCTTACATTTTGATTACTTTTATAACAATAAATAAATAAAGCAAGAAATTTAGAACTTGCATGTGTTTTTTTTTTACTTTTTTTACTCTCAAAATACTGACAAAAGTTAACCCTGTAGGTCTGTTGGTAGTAATTTGTATTTATTTCAAATATTCAGTTTAGAACACAAAATATTAACATGCTCAACAGATATAATGTCATTGTCCTATAACTTTTATAATTTAACTGGCTTTCTAACTAAACTGTACATGGGTTGATATAATTCCATTAGCTGGTCAATATGATATCAGCAATAGCAAAGAATGAAACAGTAAGCCAAATAATTCAGACATTGTCGTTAGAACTAGCTACCTTTATAGGTAATTTAGTAAATTGAAACCTTTTCTTTTTATTGATTATAAATAATCCAAGAGCAAATGTCATAAAAAATTATTGCCATTTTTTTATAAGACAGTATGTAATAGGAGTTTATGACATGTGGGTTTGACTTTCTCATTTATATCTCAATAAAGCAAGAAGATTGAAAGATGTAAATTTGTCTTAGCAACATCTATATTGCAAGTGTACTTTATGTTAAATTCAGAAGATCATAGGACAGAAAGAAAATCTAAAATAGGCAATTTGGAAGGAAGAAGTGTTACATGATACAGAAAAGTGAAGATTGAGAACATATTTAAGTCTTTCCTTTTGAGATTAAGAACTTAAAACTTATATTAAACATTAAATTATAAGCTATGTTTTGATGTCAGTAAAGTAATTTAACTACATTTTGAATATTACTCTGTAAAACGGCTGTGACAAGTGTGCACATTGACCCTCCCATCCACATAGGGCTAAATGAAACCAGTACTAACAAGCGCTATTCTCGTTATCTGTATTCCTTCAAGTATATTGATTCATGTTAGATCAGTCCAACTTCAAATTATGAGTTTACCTTTTAAAAGATTTTTGCAAAGTATTTTTGTTGTTGGTCAAAATTATAATGGTTGAGCTTTTATAGTCTGAATATTTTAAGTTTAGTAAATGATTCATCTAATTTGAAATTTTAAAGGTTTGTCTGCACTGTGTCTGTTTTTGTGTTATTTTTAGGCTAAGACAAATTTTTAAATGTATGTTAGTTAAAATAGCCATTTATAACACTCCTCTTAAGATCTTTGAAGTTATTTCTTTTGCAAAATTTTTTACTTTTAATAGGTAGATGTTTTATGTGTAACCCATTTCTCAGCCCTTTAAATAAGAACACTAAGTTAGTCTGTTTTCTATATTATTTGCACACCAAATTATGAGAGCAATATTTTACCCCTTTTCAAAATAGATTTACTCAACCTGAAGTTACAGAAATTAGAGTTGTTAAAACTTTAAGCTGTAGTTTCCTCTGTGTAATATGTAATTTTCTTTCTACTGTTTGTCCCATGGTGGCTCAGAAGTAAGCTTGAGTGTTTTGAGGTTTGACTCCCCACTATGGACACAGTACAGATAGCACATTGTATAACTTTAACAGAGAAAAAAAAAGGAAATAAATAATATTATATATATATTTAGTTTTGTGAGTTATTCACATTTCAAGCCCAAACCACTATTTTATTCTATGCTTTACAAACTTGTACTTTATGTTGGTAAGTTTCTCTGACTTGTACTTGTTTCGTTCAAAATGGTTTGAATTATAATTAAAAAACATTCTTTGTTTAAACAGTTGTAGTGCCTAATATTTTCTTTTACTTAGATAGGCCAAAACAAACATTTTAAAGTAATTTAGGGAAAACTTTTTAGAAGTTTTTAAATTGTACCTACCTTTTCTAGCACCAATTTAGCCAGACTTTAAATTTTAATGATAACACAGCTTGTTTCAGAGCAGTGTCTCCACTTTAACATTTAATGTATAAACATTGAATGTCAAAGTGATTTTGTGTTGATTTTACAAAAATTTTCCAATCTTAACTTATTTCTAAATATATTTTGAACAAGAAGTGTATCCTTTAGTAAACTGAGCTACTGTAATTATTATCTAAACTATCCTTTTTTTTTCATTGGGCTTATTTATAATTACATCAGCAAATAAATATGGTAGTAAATATGTCACAAAACTTAATTCACAATTTAGGATTTAATAAATTTTATTCACAGTTCATTTTCAAATCAAAAATGATCTAAATTTTTTAATCCATTATTTTTTTCAGGCAAGAGATAGAAGAGTTATTTACTGTGAAGAAAGAAGAACAAGAAAATCTTCACAAGAAACATATTCTTGGTACCTACTACACTTGCACAAATTACAGTTGTTGGGTTTAAATTTTGTGTTTGATTTTATGTAGTAGTGTTAACATTTTAAAGCTAACCTCAGAAAGGAACAATGTATTATGTAGATCTAACACACCTCCACCTATAAATAAGTATGCTTTTTAACCATTGTTACAGGTTGCACTTCATAGTATTCAAAATGGGCTATTTTGTCACCACTTTTCTGTTATATTTTTAAATTATCCAGATGAATCAGTATGTGAAAAAACAAGATAAATAATTCTACAGTACAAGCTAAATTGTTATATATAAAATGTTCCAGAATATGTTTTGTAATATCTCATATTGTATCTTGTTCCTTGGTGGTGTTTACTTTGATCTTATTTCAGTCATTATTGTTTATGGTCTGGTTCTTTCTTTATACATATTTACAGACTTGAAAGTGCTGTTTTATAATAATTTCCTTTCTATTGATATATACTTATCTGTTTTGGTACATTATCTAATGAAATTGAGACACTGTTCTTAACTGCTTTATTTGTTGTTTGCACTATAAATTACCTTATCCAGTGAAATTGAGACACTTGTATATAGTATGAAATATATGTATTTTCTGTGAAATGTGAACATAAAAAAAAAGAGAAGGGTTATACAATGACCAGGAATATGTAATGGTGAACTGAGAATATATACCTTAAAAGAGAGAAGAAAAACTTTTGCTGGTGTGTCATTTATACCAAATATCATCAACAGTACTATTATTTCAAACATCATGCACCTCAAGGGAGGTAATAAAAATTGTCCCAGTAATTGTAGGCCTATTAGTCTTATATCAGTTGTGGGAAAGGTTTTGGAAATAATTATAAAACATGTTTCCGAAACAGTCTTACCACCTTTCACTGAAAGCTACCTCGATCCTTGTTTGCCCCCAAAGTATTGTTTCTACCCCTTTCCTCCCTATGGGATCTCCGTCAGGCCAATTTCTATGTGAAACCATTGATGCGACTAGGTTACATTCTACCTTAACTTCCTTGGCCATGCATTTGTCTCCTCCTCCTGTTCCTCCCAGAATTCTCCTGTCTTGGTTTCCCGCCTCCTGCTTCCACACCCTGACCCTTACCTCCCTCCAGGCATTCCCATCCCTATCCTCGTTTTTACCACACCCATTCGACCAGAAGCCAACATTATCAGTGACATGATGGAGGTTTCCAGGCCAGTGAGGGACAAATTGGTCCACTTTTTGGCCATGTGGTGGCACTTCATGACAATTCTGGGATGTCTGCTGGTTCTATTGAATGGTTTTTGCCTGCAGTTCTTGTCCCCACCCTTTCCTCCTCCTCAGGATTGTTCCTCTCTCATTTGTCTTTCTGAAGCTGTTCAAGACCTCCTGCACAAAGGAGCTATTGAGCAAGAAGATGGGCAATTAGGGACCAATTATAGACCTGTCTCGATAGAATTCCTTTCTGAACCTCCCTTGCTTCACTATGGAGTCCTACCTCTCGCTTCACTGGGTGTTTATCCCGGGACTCTGGATGACCAAATTCGGCGTGACCGATGCTTATCTTCACATTCTGATTGCTCCAGAGTCATGTTGTTTTCTTCAGTTCATCCATAAAGTTCATGTGTTCCAGTTCAGGGCACTGTCGTTCGGTCTTTCTTCAGCTTCTTATGTGTTTTGTTGAGTGGTTTGCACATTTGCTTGTCACCTCAATCATTGGGTCTTCAAACTCACCATTACATGGAGGACTAGCTCCTGCTCGTCTCTTCCCATGCTTGGTCAGACAATCACACATGTTTACTTCTCCAGGAAGCAGCATGGGTGGGTTTTCTAATCAAGCTGGAGAAGTCTATTCTTATCCCACACAATACCTGGTTCACTTGGGGATTTTATTCAATTCACACTTCGGTTTTGCCCAGCCTTCTCCTCTTTGGCTCAGGGATATGGAGCAAACAGTAATGGAGGCCCTAACCTCTCATTCTCATGGTGCAAGAGGTTCTATCCCTTTTAGGGAAGCTCCCATTCCCATAAATTAAGCTCGCATGCATTCACTTCAGTGGAACTTCTCCCTCAATCTCTTAGACCATCCTGTTACCCTTTCTTCCGTAATTGGGGCTGACCTTCCTTGGTGGCTTGACAGGGACCAGACCATGGTGGGGGTTCCCATCCCTTCACCTTGTCTGGAGTTATATCTGTTCATGGATGCACCTTTGGTGGGTTAGGGGGCTTTTCTCAACTCACAAGAGATTTCTAGTCTATGGTTGGTCAAGGAGATTGCCCACAAGACCAGCATCCTTGAGCTCTTAGCAGTTTATCAGGCTTTAACCCATTCCCTTCCACTCCTGAGAGGATGGGTGGTTATGGTACAATTAAACAATTCCAATGTCATCAGTTATCTCGCCAAGCAAGGTGAAACCAAATCCAGATCTCTGTGTTTCCAGACTCTGTATCTTCTTTACTGGGCCCACGATCACCACATGATGGTCTTGGCTTGTCATGTTTCTGGTGTTGTGAATTTGGTTGCCAATTGCGTATCTCGTTCTAACCAGGTTCTCCCCACAGAGTAGTCTATTCATTCACAGGTCTTTCTGTGGGTGTGATCTCAACTTGGAATATCTCATATTGATGCCTTTTCCACTCACTAGAACACCAGACTTCCTTCCTTTTAGTCTCCTGTCCCACAGCCATTAGCTCTCAAAATAGATGCATTCAGTCAGGTTTGGAGGGAACTTCACATTTATGCTTACTCCTATCCAGAGTTTTATCCCTTGTCTAGTCCTGCTTGTTGCTCCATATTGGCCTGCTCAGCCATGGTTCTCTCTGCTTTAGCCTTGTGCAATATCCCCTGGACTTACCTCCGTCTTGGACGCTCCTCCATCAAACTCGATCAGACATTGTTCATCCTGATGTCACCAAACTCTGTCTTCACACTTGGCTTTTGTCAGGTCCATTGCCTCACCCCTGGACCTGACTCCTTGAGTCTCGTATTTTCTTTCCAAAACCATCCGGTCTTCATCCTTAACCGTTTACCAAAAGCATTTGTCTACCTTCCAATTTGATCTGTTTGACCAGGGTTTGTCCATTTCGATGGTATCTAGTTATTAGGCCACCCTGTTGAACACCTTCCATTTCTATCAGTTCTGTAAGGTTTTCTTCTCCCCTGTTATTTCCCTCTTTTTCCATTCCTTTTGTATTGTCTGTTATCCACATTTCTTTGTTTTAACAGATTGGGATCTTAATGTGGTCCTATATGCCACTTTTCGTTCTTCCTTTGAACCTCTTGTTACATGTTCCTTGTACCATCTTTCCCTTAAGACATATTTCCTCCTTCTCCGTGCTTGTAGTCATCGTCATTTGGATATTTATGCCATTCCTCTTATGTTATCATCTATTCTGACTGGTTCTTCCCCCCCAAGACCTATGTTGCCCGGGAATGTGGTTTGGTTTTATCACCATTTCCTTACCTTCAATTTTCCAACTGTACTTCTGCTGTGATCCGGATAGGCTTCATTATTTGATTCACTTCTTGAAGTGTTATGTGACTTGTACTGCCTCCTTTTGGAGTTAGCATTCCCAACTGTTTATTCCCTGGAACCCTTGTGTTTTCCGTGATCAGTCACCTGTTACTCTCACTGGTTGGGTTTGTCAACTTCTAAGGCTGACGTATCCAGACTTGTCCTTGGAAGGTTGCTGTCTCCACATCATTTCTTTTCATCAAATTCATCATATCACTATGCCATTGGCTGCTTGCCTTCACCATCCTTTGTTGCACATTATCTGCACAACTTGGCTGTTTCTTTCTCTTGAGGATATCATCTTCCTTCCATGACAATTCTACACCCATCCGTTCACCTTTGACTGTAATAAGTCTGTTCACTTCCTTTCTTTTAGCTTTTCTAATTGTAACATCTCTGTGGATCCCACCTTGCGGCAGGGGTTACCTGATCAGGCATGCTTTACCTCAAATCTGCACTAGTTTAAAGTGACTATAACACTCACTGTTGAGATGGGGTGTTTCTGTCAGACCACTGGCACTGTGTGTGTCTGTGTATATATATGTTCTAGATATCAATCAATTTCAATCTATGGTGGACCATCACTCATGGACTTCATGAGTAAAGCAGAAGGGGAATTTTGCCCATTCCTGTCGACTCTTTGCATATATTGGGGTTGGGCCTGCTATTCAAAATAGGAAATCATAGGAACAATTGCACAGTCTCTGGATACTCCACTGCATTGTTCCCCCTTTTTTCTTCTAGTGTATCATGGGAGTCTTTACCACTCCCAATTTCTAGTGGACCATGGAGGCTTCCTCCTGAGTGGGTTTCAATATTTACTTTCCAATACTCATGTTTATCCACTTAGTGAGAAGAGGGCTAAGCTGGTTAAACTACTTCTAGACGAACCACCTTGATCAATTATAAAAGGCACTAACCCTGGGTGTTTTTGCCCATGTGGACTTCACTTGACAAAATCACTTATTCATTTATACAAGGTGTTTTCCCTGGTTGTTTTTGCCTGGGTGGACCACACTAGACAAAATATCTTAATAAATTTTAAGGTGTTTTCCCCTGAATGTCTTTGCTCAGGGGGACTACTAGATAATATAACTTCATCAATGGGTCACTTTGTCAAAACCCAGCTTGAGTTTCCCCTTGATGTTTTTGCCCAGGTGGATCTCACTAGACAATATAACTTCATCAATCGATAAAAACGAAGAACCCCACTTGAATTCCCCATGAATGTTTTGCCCACGTGGACCTCACTTGACAGAATAACTTCATCAATTAACTGATTGTAAAAAAAAGCAGAAAAAAAGAGTTAACAGTCCTAAATGATAAACTTAAAATAATGGTGAGCTTAAAACCAAGCACATTGAAATGGAAAGGTAATAAGTTTATATGTTGACTACACTACACTTCATACAAATGTAATGGTTGAAACTGCAAAGAAAGATTATCACACTGGTGAGAGAATAAAGAAACCGAAGTGTGTTTTGTAATTAAAAACGTGGGAGCAGTAGGTCAGATGTGATACCGAGTTTAATTTCTTGCCTTAAAAAGGCAGTGAAATGGTATAAGAAATTATTTTGTTGTTGTATTGATATATTTTTATTCAGTTCACATGCTCTGTAACTGATGACTCAGACTGATCACCCACCATTACAGACCTTTCAATTACAACATGCAAACTCTAACAAGGAAGACTATTTAACCCACCAGCAAAAGAGAGGCCTATATGCCTTACAGAGGTATTTTCTATCCTTAGTTACACCAACAGCTTCAAAATGGTACCTATCCTACAAGCATTGCCACATTTGCAGCAACAGAGTCCAGATACATGTGCAGTGTGTTTGGTGTAGCATTTTGTATTGTTCCATATTTTGCTGATTATCACGAACTCCAAAGTTTTTAATAAAAATGATTAATATAATCATTTATGATGTGATAAGTCAACTTTTTGCTCTTATTAATCACAGCAACATCACACGTGGATGTAGCATAGCATCATCACACACGACACATTTATGTAGCAGTTGAAAGGTTAAAAGCAATTTTTTGGTTAGTTTTGCAGTTTTCACCATTTGTGAGAGAAAGTGAGTCCAGTATTAAATTCAAAGAGTGGACAAAATTTCTTTTATTTTATTTAATAAAATTAATTTAAAATGTATTTGTAACCATATTTTATTCTGAGTGTGGGCTGTATAGAAATAGAATAAGTTTGCACAATTTTTTTAAAAAGATACTTTTCTTACACAAATAATTACAGAATCAATGACAGATTTGTTAAGAAATGAGGAGCAACAGAGAGAAAGTCAAGCCAATAAGCAGAAAGTGATGAAGGATATGCAAGAAAGGTAGAAAATAAGATCTTTTTATAACTTTTTAATATTTCACATTATGGACTGAAAAACTCCCATAAATGCTTAAACACATATATATATTGTTAATATAATGAAATGGTAGAAATATTTTAGAATAACTTGTCTATTACAGAACTACTCTGTTTTTATCTGAATAAAACTTGGAGAAGTTTCCCTAATGTCATACATTTTAATCACAGAACATTCAAGAATGATATAGAACTGATATATTTGAAATTAACAAATGTGTTTGTGAAATTTCTGATTAATAAGTTAACTCTTTTATGCTGCTATGGGAATATTGTAACTGTGACAGTCAATCCGGCAATTATAGACTGAGGGCACTGCTGACTAGTTACTCTAGATATGGTCAGCAGTTACAAATATAGGGTTAGCTGTGTCTGGACTTAGTGGTTTCTATTGTAGTTGTTTACCGTATATGTCATATATAGGATGAAAATACTTAATACCAAACGAAATTATTTTTCACAAACCATTTTAGAAAATTAAAAATAAAACAATCTAATGAATATATGTGCTAAGTGTGTTTTAAATGTTATTTCTGACATTGAGAAACAATTCATAGATAAAACTGGTCAGACACAAAGAATTGAATGTTAGAGAAAATCATTGTAATAACATTTAGAGTATTCATTTTTATATTCTCTAATATATGAGAAATATTGATTTTGCATTCATTTTTCCCTTTTGTTTTTTGTTTGGAAAATATTTTTAAACTTGAAATTTTAAACAGGTAAATTGTTTCCGATATCATGTTTTGGTTTAAAAGAATATTATTCACAGTTAGTCGAAGATAATTTTTTTTAAATATCATCACTTTAACCATGTGTTTATTTAACCCTACATGCACAAGGTCAAACCTTTGGACTGATCCAGTATTGCAGAATTAATGTTTACTATAATTCAAAATTTATTAGATATATTTTCTGACTAGTCTGAGTGTAAGGTGATTTTCATGTTAAGTTTAAAAAAATTTTCATCTTATAGTTTTTTTTTTATTTCATTTGCATAACCTCTAGAACCTCCTAAATGAATATCAAAAGTTTTTCCAGTGAAACTGTATTTTTATTTTCTCTACCCTAACTCTAACTACAGTGAAATCATCTGTGGTGAAAGTTGAGAAATATGAAATTAAATCAAAAATACCTTTTTACCAAATTTTGCAAAGTGTAACACTTAAAATCATTTATCCTAAAAGCTTTAGGCTTCTTTACTTTTTACAGTTGCTTTTATTTGATTTTATTGTTTCACTACTATTTGAACCATATCTAATTACAACAAGTAGCAATAAATCACTCAATGAATGTGCATAGAGGGAACTAAACTTCAGGTTAAGTCAAATAGTGTCTAATTACACATGCTCCTCATACATTATTTATGGTGAAAAAATTTTTCAATGTTTTTCATTTGTGTCTTTTATCTAACTTACTGAGTTTTTAATTTTTACATTTTAGTTATTTGTGTTAAAAATTATTTATCAAAAAATACAAAAATTACATAATAAATATATTTTACACTGTAGGATTGAGGCCTTTTGATCTTGGAAGCTGGTCTTCATTAATCTTACATTTTTCTCACTAAGTTGGTTGTCTGAAAAACAATTTATGTTACTTTAAAATGTGCATTTTAAAACACAAACAAACTGATATAAAGATGTCATAATCATGTAGTTCACAAAAGAGCCTTTTTGTTGGCTATAAATATGTACCATTTACAAGTAAGCATGAGTAAATAAGTAATTTCTAAAGCATGAATAGTTGGGAAGAACTTCATGATGGGTTTAACAAATGTATTGGTATCTCAGAAAATAAAGAAGGTGGGAAGTTCTTATATTAAGTTCTGGCCTGTCGGTGTTTCTATTTGTTGGACATTCTGAAACCCATATAAGGGAAGAAATAAAATCTAAAATGGAGAATTAAGAGCAGAGAGATATGTCGCAAAGAAGTGAAGATTGAGAATTTACTTAAATATTTCCTTTTAAATTTAAAAATATAAACTATGTTATGATGCCAAGTTTCTTGACATAATTTGATAATAAAGTTAATTAATTAAATTCTGAATGTAACTTTGGAAAAAGTTGTGATATGCATACTTTGACCCCAATCTGTGCAGAAAGGATTAACTTTATTCAAAGCTGAAATATTAAGTTTGTGATTGGTTTCTTTAAGTGCTGGTCAATTTTTAGTAGTATACCATTTTCAGACTTATCTTAGGACAAAGTGAATCATTTCTGCATTCTACCTCCATACTTCTAAAGACGTTGTACTAACTAAAATTATATGTGTAAAAGAAAAAAAACAATCACAACTTGAATTTGCAAATTTTGTGTTCAGACAAGATTCACAAGTACAAGTGCTCATTAAATATTTATTGCAGAGCATAATAGTTCAAACTAGATAAAATCCATAATAAGACCAGTGAGAACATCAGATTTAAATAATATTAGCTTACACTATTAAAAACATAACATAATTTTTGAATAATATTGTAACTTACACTAGATAACAAAACTCGTACTATGATCAGCTGAGAACACAAGTTTTGAGTAATATCCCATGTCACACTAAATAACATAATCCATGTGATCAAGTGAGCACAGAAGTTTGAGTGATATCATTGCTTAAACTGAATAATAAGATTGATAGTATGACCAGTTGAGAACAGGAGTTTTAACCAATATCACAGCTTGCACTAGATAACAAAACCCATACTAGAACCAACTTAGAACATCAGTTTTTAATGATATTGGTTATTATCTCATCAATTAACTCTCTCAATATGGGCTCAGTCAATTTTACCAATCATGTGACTTTTTTGTACTCATATAAAGTCTTTATAGGTTTGATACTACCTACTTTTAATATAGGACATATAACTTCACAAAATTTGGCAGTTTTTCAGTAAACATTACAACTCTTTCAACATGCAAAAAATCATATTTTTTGTGTGAAGTATTTTAAGTAAACTAAGAAAAAGATTTGTCTGTGAATATATTGAACCGTGTCTATTATAAGTTGCAAATCACTTGGGGGAACATTGAGCTCACATTATGTTATTGAATTATGTTACCCACAAGCTGCTTGCATGCGTGCCTTGTAAAACATTTTTATTATATTATTATTATTTATTTTATCTAATCTAACCTAAAGAGATCCTTATTTTTCATTTAAGTTACTTTTATAATAATAAATAAAGAATAAACATGAAAAACAAGAAATAAAGTACTTACCTGGGTCGTCGTCTTTTTATTTCTGTTGATGATTGATGACACTTAACCATACTTTTTTATACTAATGGTAGTAATGCATTAAATAATTGTTATTTAATTAAATAATGCACCACAGAACATAGACTGATAACATGCAAAAAGTAGACAATTTCCCCTAACTCTCAGTATTTTTCTGCCTTTCTAACAATCCGACAAGAGCCATTACAAATTCAACCAAACTAGTCATTATCTTTCCTGTGGGAACAAAGCTTGTGCTAAAATTGACATTTCTGCATTCAGAAAACAACTTTTATACAATACCTTATTTGACACGTGAAAACCTTGTCTTTCTATTAATTATAGATAATATAGAATTAAACATAAGAGAGAACTATTAACAAATCCTGAAAGAAAGGATGTAATAGGTGGGTGTGGCAAGGGGAGTCTGATTTTCTATTTGATGGCTCTGTAACCAAACAAAAATGAAGGATATAAAAGTTATGGTTTGTCTGAGCAATGACAATTTATAGTGAGTAATTTACATTGAATTTCATAGTTATTGGAGGGGTGATGGCTAAAATGGAGAAGAGAAGATGCCTATAGAAAATGTGTCATGCTAGGGGAATTAAGGATTTTTTAAAATATTACCTTATAAAATTAAGAGCTTAAATTTTGTATGCTATTAAAATATGGATTATTAGCTAAACTTTCATGCTACACTAATTTGTATAACAGAAACAAAAAATAGATTAATAAAATTTTGAATGTAAGTCACTAAAACCTTGTGTCATGTGCAGTAAAGGATGCCCGTGGTGATAGGGTTAAATCAGTGATAGATATTGTCACAAAGTATTGTAAAGTTATAATGTTTCTGTGATTCTACTAGTTTTTTATATTTATTAAATCTTATAATTAATTTTGTTTTTGTAATTTCTCTATTTTATTATTTTGATATGCTTTAAATACTCATAAAATGGGTTGTTTGGATATTTTATAACTAGTGTGTATCCTAAATAATTTTTATTGTCAGCAATAATATCAAAGTCACCCAAAAGACAAATCATTACAATTTGAACTTTTATGAAATTTTAGCATTTACTTTACATTAGCCTACATTCAATAATATTTATGTATGTTAGAATTTCCTCTTTCTTTCAAGTATACTCAGCAAGATATAATCATTTAATAATATTCCCATAGCTTCTCAAAGTTGAATTTTATAGTTTGTAGTAGTGATAAGCATAGTAGTAGTAGTTGTGACTGTACTAGAGTTGTTGAATAACCAGTTATTGGATTATCTAATTGGGCAATCAATATTAGATGATATGTGAGAAACTTAGTCTTTGTAAATTTTAAGGACTTGTTGTTGTCATGTTCAGAAACCATCCAGTTGGTTTTGAATGAGTTTCAAGTAATTCAATAAGTCATTGTAGAATTAAATACACACATGGGGAAAAAGTTTAACCCTTTGATGATGACAACATTTTTGAACCTCTCTCTGTGCATGTTACTGAGTTATGTTCAAAAATATAATTAAATCTCTTTACTATAAATGAATTTTAATAAGATTATTATCATCAAATACTTTATAATTCAAAGTTTTATTCCTTTATTTCAAAACTTCAGCACATATCACAACCATGGTTAAAAATCTCAACTTTAGAGTGGATATAGGAGAGACAAGTATGAGAATGTAGACTGCCTTCCTTCAGTCGATTAAAGTACAAGATACAGAGCTTGTTAACAAGTACTTTAAATACATTCCAAGAACTAGAGTTGAGAAAACCATTGAAAAATATTTCTCAGTCCAATATAAGCCCCGTCCATTTTCAAAGTAAAAGCAATGTTGCTAAGCGATAGTTTTAACTTGAATGGCATGCTTATAATCAATAAAAAGAGCATATTTCCTGCTATTTAGGTAACTATGGCAAGAAACATTAACAGTGTATGAGTTTGTACATGTGATGTACGGGTCCTTAGCATTTGGCTTTACTTTCTTGCTGTATACATATTAGATGGATAGATAATTAAATTGCATTTAAGTATTACTTCTATATTTTAGTTAATTATGCATTATTTGTGTTGTAAAATTCATATCTGAAAGTTTTAATGATTTTTATAAGTTTACTTATTCATCTCCTTCCTATCTTGTCAAGACTTAACATAGGACATGCGCCAAACATTTCGCCAGTGAATAATGCATCTCTCCCAAATAGTACGTAATAATGGCCCACAGGCACCAGGTGACGTTTTGGCATAGATAATAAAAGACTAAGAATCAGAAAGTTAAATAAAACATTAAAAATAAACTACAAGTGAAATTTCACATATGACCCCAAAGAAGATATTTTAAGATTATTCAATGAAGTGATAAAAGTTAAGTACATATTTAAATTTCTTAATTTTAAACATTTCAATGCATTGTACATTGATTATAATAGCTAGAGTTAGTGATATGGTAGAGAAAATGGAAAATAACTTATAATCATTTACTTCAAAAACTTTTGATATTCATTTTGGAAACTCTTGAATTTATGCAAATGAAATTTGAAAACTGTAAGATAATAAATAGTATCTTTATACTCAATATAAAAATCACCTTGCAGGTGAACTATTCAGAGTCCGTGTGCAATTAAGTACATTAAATAATGAATTTTTTATTAAAACTGTAGAAAAAATAAAAATTAAATATTTTTCTGAAACTACATACTTTTAGGAAAGTTCATGTCAAATTTTTAACAATTTCATCCACTAGCTTTATTTTTGTAAAGAACTTTCATGAGAGTTACACAACCTACTTGCAAATCAGTTAGATCGTCATCAAAGTATTAACTTGATCTTATTAAAAAAAAATTGTAGGACTTTCAAACTGTTTCAGTAACCTACTTCAGTTTTTTTACAAGTCTGTGTGTAATCAGTCAATCCCAAGCTCACCCAGTTGAAACACCACTTCATACAATATAAATTTTGCATTTATCATTTTTACTTAAATGCAAGGGATAACTTTGGTCACACAAGAGAGATTGGGTAAATAAGATAAACATCTTCGTCTAACTACCTGAATTGAATATCACTACATTTACTTCTATTAATTTCATTTTACTTTAGTTCTTTTGCAGCAGATAAGAAGATTGAAGAAATTTTGACTAGCAGAGACCAAGATCAGCAGGTTTTGTTGTCTGAATTACTGAAAGAGGTAATCCAAGTTGTGTTGATTTTGTAACTGAATCTCAAACTCTAGGAATTAGAAAATATATATCTCTATTATATCACTTTTAGGACTAACTTTTCAAACATAATTATTTTATAAGAAATGTTTGAATAAATACTTGAACATCATAAAGGATCTTTTCTGTGTTTAAATATTTTTGGACTATAATTGTTTGGCCAGAAGAATGTTGTGAGTTTTTAACTCTATCAGATTCTTCTGTTGTATTTGATTTTTTCTGTTATTAATGTAGCAGTACTTCTATTTTTGTAGTAATAATGTTTTCTCTTCGTAATCTTTCTTATTATACTTGCATTAAGGATGTTACCTATAAGGTAAAAAGTAAAAATTCTAATGTATTAATGAAATCTTGTTATTCACTGATTTTTATTTAATACCTTTTCTTAGGAACATTACCAGAAAGAGGCATTCAAAACTCTCCAACTGAAGCGTGATGAAAAACACAATGAACTAACTCAGAGGGTAAGTGTACTACATAAAATAAGTTGAGAGATCTAATAAATGTATTGAAATTTAACCTGAAGAATAAACAATAATTCCGATACAGTACATTACCTCTTCTCACATAAATAACTATTCTTGTTCAGTGCTGTCCTGTATATGCAAAATTGTTTTCACATGCTACAAGCCTTAAAGCTCCACCCATCTTGAATTAACTGATTCCAATACATCTTGCATGCAAATCATCATGCAACAACCCTCCACCAATAAGAGTCCAATGTACTCTCTTGATGCATATGACTCCCTCTATTTAATTATACCAAACTATCACTTCTCGTTTGGCAGTTCTCCTGTTATAGTGTTTAGTTTGTGCTCTCTTCAACTGTTTTATTTTAATCTTTTTCCATAACTTTGTATTGCTTTCTCTCAACAACTTTACTCTTTATTATACAATAGTGATATTTGTAACTTGTTGAGTTATTCCAAAGTGGAAATATTTTATATTTCTACACAGCTACAAAACTTATTACTTCATTACAAAAATGCTTTATTTATTTTTGCAAACACTGTTTGGTTATTAATTTTCCATTATGAATTCTACATTACATATTTAGAGGTTATATGTTCTATCAGCACATTTACACAGGCTTCAGGTAGCTGTACTCCACGAGAAGATTTTTGGCTTTACTTCATTGGGAGATTGGTCGTCCAATGAACTGACCTTTGTCGGTCCCCCCTTGACATGGATTCCTGTACATGGTGAGGGGACCTCCCAGGGAAGGTTCTGTATTTTCAGTTACATCCTCTGGGATCTAAACATCCACCCACGTGTTTGCCATGCGTGGTGATCCGTGAAGGGGAGGAGAGGATCTTGGTGGTTGAGTGGTGTCTGAGGCACTGCAACACACCACTTTGGCCTTATATTCCTGTGGACAGGTGGCCTTGGGGTGCCCCCCCAGGGTCAATTGACTGGTTTACTCGGGCTAGGGTCAACTGAGTACCAGTGTTGGGCATTCTCAACGGGTGTTATGGACATTGTGTCTGATGCTGGTGTTTGGGTATAGTGCTCACGAAACCCTGGCATTGCTGCAGTGTCTAGTTTGATATTCTAGTGCATCCCCTTGTAGAACTCCATGGCGGGTGTGGTCAGTGGGCACTGAATCTTTCTCTTTTATTATGGATCCCCCCCAATCCAAATAAAAAAATAGTAAAAACTCTGCTTATTGGTAAACGACCATGCCTAGAAGACTATGAACAGCAGTCTCCACCACAAGGAGGACCTGTACCTCATTTTCTGGTCTTGCATTCACTATCCGATAAATCTTTAGGGCAAATGTCTCCCTTTTTTATTCAGAAGGGTTTAAAGGGGTTTGCTGGCTCTCCAAAGTCAGTTAAGAAGCTCCATTCAGGAGACATCTTGGTTGAAACATCGACAGCAAACCACAGTGCAAAATTGAATTCAAAGGCCATTGGGGATATACCCATTGAGGTTACTCCTCACGCTTCTTTGAATTACTCACGAGGAGTTATTGTCGAGAGGGACTTAAAGTCTATCCCCAACTTGGAGATCCTTGCTGGTTTCCTCCAGCCAAGGAGTTTCAGGAGTTCGTCGAATCTCTACTCTTCAAGATAGTATTCTGGTGCCGACCTCAGTTCTAATTTTGACATTTTCATCGCCACGTCCATCATTGTGAAGGTGGGTTATTTGAATTGTAAGGTACGGCCCTATATTCCTAATCCTCTCTGATGTTTCCATTGCCAGCGGTTTGATCATTCAAAGACATCTTGTCATGGTTCTGTGATGTGTGCTCGTTGTGGTGGCAAGTACCACAATGCCTACAAGTGCCCACTGGATCCTCACTGTGTTAATTGAAGTGGTTCCCACCCCTCTTACTTTAGGTCTTGCCCTAAGTGGGTGGAGGAGAAAGAGGTACAGTGTTTGAAGACTGTTCACAACATTTCTTATCGAGAGGCTCGGAAGCTATTGTACTCTACTCCATCTCACACATGTACCACTGCACTACACTCCACTGCTACAGTGGGGGTGCAGACAGACTATTCCATGCCTGCATCTGAGTCTTTTTCACGCCATGTGAGGAGTCTTCTGCCCTCCATGGATAATAGAGTTGACAGGTCTACATGTACTCCAATCTCTGTCCCCACTATTCCTTCCAGTGACTGCCTGGGTCAACCTCCTCGGGCACCAGCCTCTGGTGTCTACACGGGTCCTTCTTTGGCCCCTAAATGCAGGATGATCATTTGATCACATCCTCAGTCATTGGATTCTCACTGTGATGACAGAGATCTACCCACTCGATCAAGGGCAGGGTCCATGGAGATCGATCGACTTCCATCTAGTAAAGAAAAACTGCATGGTCATAAACCAAAGGGTTCTCCACCCTGTTCTCCTTCACCTACATAAAAATGGCCACTTTGATACAGTGGAACTGTCAAGGTTTTTATTCTAATCTCGATGATATTAAGGCCTTGATTGACTCTTATCATCCCGTATGTGTGTCTCTCTCCTTACAGGAAACATTTCTGAAACCTGCCAATACAGTCACCTTTCGGCAGTTTTATTTGTACCGGAATGACAGGTTGTGTGATGGACGGGTGCACGGAGGGGTGGCACTGCTGGTCAACCAGCATGTGTCCCTCGATACACCCTTGGAGGCCGTAGCCATCCGTGTTTCCTTGGGTCTTACCATCACTGTTTGTTCTCTCTATCTGTCTCCTGGGGAGACTTATGATCAATCGGACCTTGATGCTCTCCTTGACCAGTTACCATCTCCCTGTTTACTTCTGGGAGACTTTAATGGACACAACCCCCTCTGGGGTGGTGCTGATATTAATGGAAGGGATTGTTCCATAGAGCATATGCTCTCGGATCACAACCTTTCTCTCTTCAATACTGGAACATATACTTATTTTCATGCACCTAGTCAGTCTTTTGCTGCTATTGATCTCTCAGTTTGCTCCCCTTCACTTTTCACTCACTTTTCTTGGATGGTCGACAGTGACCCATGGAGTAGTGATCATTTTCCTATCATTATGAGGGAGGTTGGCCATGGTCGATGCCACCCGACCCAAGTGCCACGGTGGAAGTTGGACCAGGCTGACTGGCCATCTTTCACCTCTCTCTCTGAACTTGATCTTGCCTTTGTCTGTCTGCCATCAATAGACGACTGTGTGGTTGCAGTGACTGACTGTATCGTCCAGGCAGCTGCTCATTTTATTTCCAATACCTCGACACGTTTTTCACAGTACTCTCCTCCGTGGTGGAGTCGTGCCTGCCAGTAGGTACGAAGGCTTAAAATCGGGCTTGGGATAACTTCCGACGGTATCCCTCTCTTTCTAACCTCATTGTTTATCAATGGGCCCCTGCTCGTCAGGTTTGACGTCAAAGCCAAAAGGATTAAGTTCACTACTAGCATCTCTTGTACCACCAATTCCAAAACTGTATGGGACACGATTTGGAAAGTCATTGGGAGGTATGCTTCCCATCCCCTTTCCATCTTGCTCTCCAATGGCCAGGAAGTTGCTGATGCTCTTGGCCACAGCTTTTCTCGTGCTTCTAGCACTTCTGTTTCTTCCCCTGCCTTCTTGGGAAGAGCGATTGCCTCTTTTCTTTCGGGCCAATCGTCTCTATGACTATAATCGCCCCTTCCACATTTCATGTCAGTTGTCAAACATGGGGTTTATTGAGTGGCAGCTTCAGACTGCCCTCAATCAGTTGTTGACATGCACCACTGCAAACAGTTTTACTTCTTTTTTTTTGTACTCCTTTTTTCTTTTTCTAAAACCATTTGCACACATTTTTGCCACCAATGAGGTCTCCACCTCGCTCCCGAGCTCCATCTTGGCGATATAGTTATTTGTGTGGTCCCTGAGGCAAAGTTCTTGGGGCTTATCTTGACCGTAAGCTTAGCTTCATTCAGCACATCAAGAAGCTACGTGTCAAGTGTGCAAGGGCTCTTGGGGAGTGGATCGATGTTCTATGCTAAGGATCTATCATGCCCTGTTTCGATCCAAACTGGACTATGGGTCTTTGGTCTATAGTTCTGTCAGGACTTTGGCCTTGAAGATGCTGGACCCCATTCACCATCTGGGGCTTTTGCTCTGCACCTGGGCTTTTAGCACTTCTCCAGTCCAGAGTTTGCACACTGAGTCCCACGAACCTCCTCTTCACTTCCGTCATTTGCATCTTTCTTTACAATATGCTACCAAGCTTCGATTCTTACCACGGCATCCCACCTGGGATTGTGTCTTTCTTCCTCGGTGGGCCATGCTCTTTCAGAACAGATGGTCTGCTATTCCTCCCTTTGGCCTTCATATCCAGGTGCAACTGGCTGAATTGGGTCTGGCACTGGATAACATTGCTGTCCCCAATGATCAGCCCATTCCACCATGGCTTATTACCATCCCTTCCTGTGACCTTTCCTTGAGTCATCTGAGGAAGGCGGATACTCCCGATTGGAAGTACCGTCTTCTTTTTGTTGAACATCTTTTGAGCCATTCTTCTCTTCCTATTTACATGGATGGTCGAAATCGGGTGACTCTGTTGGTTCTGCCATGGTGTGCTGTGGCTCGGTAGTTGCTCGCAGGATCTCCTCTACAGTTTCTGTGTTCACTGCCAAGTTGTATGCTATTTCTCTTGCCCTGGATCATGTAGAAGCTTATCAGCACAGTAATTGTGCTATTTACACTGATTCTATTAGCTCTCTACCGGCCCTAGAATCGCTTAACATTAGTTCTCACCCTGTTTTCGTCGATATTCAACAATGACTGGCCCATTTTTTTCTATCTTCTGTTTCCATCCAGTTTTTCTAGATACCTGGCCACGTCGGTATTCACGGGAACGAGCTCGCTGACACCGCAGCTAAGTCCGTCTGCTCTGGTGCCGTCACGGCTGTGCCTGTCCCGTACATGGACTATGGTTCTGTCTTCAAGGTGAGGCTTCGTGCCAGTTGGCAGTCGACTTGGGGTGAGCAACGTCATAACAAGCTTTTCCAGATTAAACC